AGGGCCAGTTCTGTGACTACTGCACCTCTGGAATATGGGATTGACTTTCCTACCAATGTCAGCAAGCTACTGCCAGTCAAAATTCATATTAGTGGTCCATGGGATTTAAAATTATGACTTTGGTGGTCCCTGAGATCCAAAAGGTTGGCGACCCCTGCTCTAAAGCACCCAAAGGCCAGACAAGGAACAATGGATGGAAATTGAGCAAGGAGAGATTTAACTTGGAAATAAGGAGAAACTTTCTGACAGTGAGAACAATCAACCAGTGGAACAGAAGTTGCCTTCGGAAGTTGTGGGAGCTTCATCACTTGAGACTTTCAAGAAGAGATTGGACTCCCATCTGTCAGAAATGGTGTAGGGTCTCCTGCTTGGGCGGCGGGTTGGACTAGATCAGTGGTTCTTAACCTTTTTGAAAGAATCACCCCCTTGAACCATTGAGGAAGTTATCATTGCCCCCCTCCCCCAACATAACCTCTCAATCACAACACAGAGAAATAATTCTTCAATTTATGCAAACACGTTTTTTGTGTTCTTTAAAATTGTCATCAGGACATATCGATGCAAATAATTTATTTCCAGTCTTTTTCCCATATCTCAACTGTGTGAAAAATTCTGATGCCACCCATCACTTTACTCCCAAACTTCATGATACATGTATTTCATTATTATCTTATTTATTCAAGACACTTAAATGCAATGACCACTGAAAACAAAATTCAACTGCAAGAAAATGAAATGCCCCCCCCCAAACAGTAACATTTAATGATTTAATTACAAGTGAATTTTAAGACGCACAAAGAAATATAAAAAGGGCACAAGAACAAACCGCAATGCAGGAACTAAGAATTTCAAGAAGAAAACTCTGAAATTAAATTAAGATTCGAGGAAAATATATATTTATGCACACTATAAGAAAGGTTAAAAAGACACAAAGAAAATTTTTACAGAAGGAAAGCAACAAAAATCAGAGTGACAAATTTAATACTTAAACTGAAGAAAAATATATATATCTACACAAAAAGTTTACACAAAAAAAAATTGAAACCATAAAACCAAGAAACCAAAATATAAGATCAAACTGGAGTGCATGCTAAAAAAGTACAATACAAAGAGACACACAAAATGTTTTACAGAGCACAAGAAGAATTAAAAAATGAAGCCGAAAACTCAAACTGGAATGTGAAATCCAATGCAAGCAAATACAACGAAGAGAGCAGAGACAATCATTAACAAAGAAAATGTATGTACACAAAAAGCAAAAAAGAACATCAGTGGCTGCCTTCTGCTTGGTGAGCTGATGCCAATTTCTTGATGTCTGGAACCATTTTTGTTAATCTCATTCTTAAATCACCATGCTCAGTGATCTTCAACATGTTCCTTGACTTAGAAAGGATCTGTTGGACAGCGCTGAAGCCCCTCTCCACTAAGTAAGTGGAAGGAAAGGCTAAAAGAAGCAACTTAACTTCCTCCCACAATATTGGGTAAGTGTTCCTCATTTTCACCCAAAAAACTTTGTAGCCAAAAAGTGATTGGGCTTCACAGTTGTATTTCAGGTCTGTCAGTGGCTCTTGCAGTTTGGGTTGAGGTTGTGCAAAGTCTGCTGTGAAAGGATTTAGCACCCAAGTGGGCACTTCCAGATTTATCAGATCATAGAATCTGGTTTCCATATCTTCTTTTAGTTGCTTCAAGTGGCAGCAAAAAACATCCAAATCTTCTGCTTGGAGTTGATGTTCATTACCAAGGCTTGGGAACTGATACAGCTCCTGGCAACTCATATTGCTTGCAAGGAGATTCAATTTGGAAATAAATAAGCAAATTACTCCTTTGGCCTTAAGAAAATTGGTTTTATCTCCTTGCAGCTTTACCTTCACTTCATTCAGCTTGTCAAAAACATCAGCGAGATAAGCTACATCCAGACATCGAAGTTTAAGAGAACTTCTTAGATTTGGATCAGTGGATTCAAGGAATTCGACAACTGTGTCAAAAACTTCGTGGAATCACCACAAACACTTTCCTTTTGAAAGCCACCTTACTTCGGTGTGCAAAAGGAGACATTCAAACTCCTCATCATTTTCTTCACAAAGCTTGTGAAAAAGTCTGTTGTTCAAGGCATAACGCTTTTATTCACAGCGTTAATGACATAATGTATAGACTCGTGCAAATGGCCAAATTTTTTGAGACAAGGTGCTGTCTATGAACAATGCAATGGACAGTCATAACTCCAGGTACAACCAATTTTAGATGAGCTTGAAATCCGCAATATTGTCCAGCCATGGATGCAGCTCCATCTGTTGCACGTGCCACGATGTTTGTCAAAGGGGTGTTTTTCTCATTAAAAAACTCTTCAACCTTTTTAAATATCAAAGAAACTTTTGTGTCAGTGGCTAAATTTTGAGCAAATAACAGTTCTTCCCCAATCTCTTCATTTCCACTGATATAAGCCAATAACAAGGCTTCATTTTCACGAATCGTTGACTCATCAATTTGCATCATGAATTCTGTACTTTTCAAGGTGTCAATAAGCCTTTCTTCCACATCAGCAGCCATTTCATCAATTCTTTTTGATATGGTGTCATTGCTCAAAGGAATCGATTGCATGACAGTACTTGCACTGGGCCCCAACATGGTGGCAACAATCTGTTTCACTGCTGGTAAAATCAGCGTTTCTCCGATAGCGTGAGGTTTGCCACATTTTGCTATCAACAAAGATACTTCATAGGAACAAATGAGCCCCTTGTCGGCATTGAGTGATGATTTTCCAAATAACTTCTCAACAGTGCTGCGACCCTCAAACTTGGTCTTTAAGGATTGGAAAAATGATACCGGTTTGTTGGCTTTATCCAAATGAATTCTTACCAAATGGTATTTCAGTTGGGAGGCTTCATCACTTCATTTGAAAATGTTTTCTCACAAAGAAGACAAAACGGAAGCTTTATGTTGGAAGGAGATGGAATGAATCCCAATTTTAGGTATTCCGTCGAATATTGGCGACACTTCCTCTTCTTGACCATGTTGAGAGGTCTTCAAAATGAAAGGCACTAACTGCAAATTAAATTTTTGACTGCACTGGAAAACAATAAAACACACGTGGATGTCGACAAACCTAGTTTCAACAGTTACATTGACATCACAGGGGACAGCCACTCAGCATGCAATGTTTTGAAAGAAGCGCTCACCCCTCCATCACTGCCCATTCTGGCCAATGGCGTGCCACTGTATGGGTGGAGTGATAGAGGCTGCTGTGCAACACGCATGAAGATGAGCGATGCATATTCACATATGTACGGTGTTCTGTACTGAAGCTAGCTAGAGGAACATCTTAAAACACAGTTCAATCCACTAATAGCGAGCGATTTGTACGGCAGATATACAGTGGTTCACTGTAAGAAAAAAGTCTCAAAAGTGTCCCCAAAACTTGTCGCTCCATCGCCCCCATATTGCCCCCCTTCCATTCCTTTGCCCCCGCATTGCCCCTTTTCGTTCCATCGCCCCCATGAAAAATGAAATCGCCCCCTGGGGGGCAATATCACCCAGGTTAAGAACCACTGGACTAGATGATCTACAAGGTCCCTTCCAACTCTCTTAATCTGTTATCTGTTTAAAGAAGTGCCATATGGTCACCTTAAAAGAACCACCCAAGTAAAGTTATCAATGTTATTGGCTAACATGCTCTGTTTTCTTGCCTATCTGTGTTTCATTAATCTTTTCTGGTTTTTAAACTGTATCTGAGTTTTTAGTAGGGAGAACTGGATTTTTCTCATCCTCTTTACTCTGAGATAGAATAGAATAGAATAGAATAGAATAGAATAGAATAGAATAGAATAGAATACTTCATTGGCCAAGTGTGATTGGACACACAAGGAATTTGTCTTGGTGTAAATACTCTCAGTATACATAAAAGAAAAGATACATTCATCAGGAGTCGAGAATCATAAGGTACAACACGTAATGATAGTCATAGGGTACAATAAGCAATCAAATCATACTAGGAACAAAGTTACGAGCAACAAAGTTACAGTCATACAATCACAAGTAGGAGGGGATGGGTGATAAGGAGTGATGACAAGATGAATATGTTGCTACAAATTGTATCTTTACATCTGCTACCGGGAAATGATATAACTTGCTCTTGCTTCTGGAGCCCTGAGAAAATCTCCTTCAGCTCCTTTTCAGGGGACCTTTTCAGTCTGCCCCCACCCACCCCTTGGAGTAGGGCATGTCTGTGGCCCGGGGTTCGTGTTGGCGGCGTTAGGAACTGGATAGCAGAGGCTTTCTGTGGGGGAAGCCTTTCCCATTGAGATGGCAGAAGGAATCTTTATTCCAAAATATTTGCAAGAAGGCTCATGGGCAACAGCACGCAGCATGAAGCTGTTGTTTTTTTCTGGGTGGTTTGGTTCCAAGTAGGGCAGGCCAGCAAAAGCAGTCATAGTTGGGAAGCGATTATCTTAATTGCTAGAGTCGGGCAACTTTAAACTTGGCAACTTTAAGACTTGTGGAACTTAAACTTCCAGATATTCTGGAAGTTGAAGTCCATACCTCTTAACATGCCTATGGTTGTAAAACACTGCTCTAGAGTGGAGGTTTCTAATCTTGTCAACTTTAAAACTTGTGGACTTCTAGTCCCAGAATTTCTCAGCATGAGAATTGAAATCCACAAGTTGGCAAGATTGGAGAACCCTTCTTTAGAAAACCATGATTGGCTGCCAAGTCTTAAAGTTGCCAAGGTTGGAGACCCTTGGAAGGAGGCTGCTCATAGGAGGCTCATAGGGAAATAGCTTCCTGATGGAAGCAGATAATCTCCCTGTTTCAGCTCCAAGTCCTATATAGCAAAGGAGAAGAAATGTAGCCCGTCCACACAGAGTAACCAGTGCTGGGCAGAGCACCTGGTGAACTGGAAGTTTAGGTGGCAAACTGACTGAAGCAGGTATTTCCAAGGGACCTATGGGGTTTTTGGCCAGATGGCTTAGTCCCATTCATTCTGCTACTCTTTGCCTGAACAGCTGGTAAAGGAGAGATTGCTGTGCCATGCGATCATAGGGAAGCAGTCTGGAAAAGAACGTATCATGAAGGTTGATGTCACTTGTGAATTCATCGCACCAGTTCTGCAGATTTCCTCCAGAGCAGTTACTTTCCGCGTGGAGAAGGTGAGTGCTTTGATACCATGACATCTTTCTGGCTGTTGACATCAGTCTAGGCCAAGAATTCTGTGAACCAGCTCCCTCTGGGACATTGGAATCCCAAATCCTTGGAAAGATTGCCGGTGATAGGGGGGAGGGTCAGTAAAGCTTGGGCTGGATGGCATAATGAATGAAGCGGGTCGGGTGCATGCTGCAGGTGTTTTACCTTGAGGAAAGGCAAATGAGGGTGACTGCATTTCATTTTGAGCCTGAAACAAACATGCTTTTGAACATTTAGCTAAACCAAAACCTGCAACATTTTGTCTGTTCTCGATTTTGGTTGAGAGAATAGCCAGAGGAGTATCGTGGGTTGAGCCAGGAAAGACTGGTGAGCCTCCCCTCTCTTTCTTGTCCTTTGCTGCATGACTGGTAAAGCCCTCTCCCCAGTTTGTCTAGGATTGCCCACCCCCGTTGGCATTGCCAATGCCCTGAGCCTCTTCTCGTTCCATGTCCTCCCATGTAATGTCATAAATACGTTCATATTTTATCATCTCATTTTAAGTTTACATCAAATTTTCCTTCTTTCCATAATGTACCCATTCTAATCATCAGATTTATAAATCATGAGTTCATTTTTTCTTTTTTTCAGTAAAAAACCATAAGGAATTTCCTTATGTCACTTAATACATGAAGTTGCTGGTCTCTCTTTAAGCTGATGTTTCTTGACCTTGGCAACTTGTAGATGCATGGACTGGAACTCCACACATGCTGGCTGAGGTTTCTCGCAGCTGAACCACCTGCAAGTTACCAAGGTTGAAAAACACTGTGAATAAAGAATAGGACTAGGACAGAACAGAACAGAATAGAATAGCTTTATTGGCCAAGTGTGATTGGACACACAAGGAATTTGTCTCCAGTGCCTAAGCTCTCAGTGCATATACAAGCAACAAGTGATAAATCTTGATCATAATCATAAAATGCAATAATCATAAATCGTAAGTTACAAGACTCAATGATAGTCAAATAAGCAATCAACATAAATCATACTAGGATACTAAATAAAACAATCAGTATAAATAGTAAGATATAAGCAACAAAGTTATAGTCATAAGAAGATAAGGAAATATGTAATAGGAAAGCGGTGCGTTTCAAAAAAAATTCCTACCGGTTTGGAGCTTGCTTCAGAGCCGGCTTTGTAACCAAAGCATTCTCAGAATAGGATGGGAGACCACCAGGAGGGGACAAGGGGAGGGGACAAGGGAATGATGAAAAGGCAGGGCTGCTGGTGGCCAAGTGCTAAGACAGGACTTCCCTCAGAATCTGACTCCCTCTCATTATAATCCCTTTCCTCTCCTTTTTTCCCTTTTCTTCTTTTTGCTTCCCTCCTCATTTTCCTTTCTTCTTCCCCTCTTTCCTTGTTTTCCCTTCCTTGCTCTCTTTCTTTTTCTTTGTCTTTCCTGTCCGTTCTTGGATGCTCAAATACAAAAGGGGAAACATTTCTCAATGCCTCCTTGTGATCAAATGCCATTTTTGCTAGTAGTTTGTGGCCAAAAACTGAGAAGAAACCAGGCTCAGTTTATCCCGTGCTTGCATTTAGTGGGAGAATCCACAGACAACAGCACAGAGTGAGGGCATAGGGGGAAAATACCTTTAGCTCGTGCAGTATATAAGGTCCTCAATAGAAGGCAGATTGGTTTTTTCCTCAGTCCTAACTATCCATTGAAGTCTGTGTCAGTCTTGTTTGGTTGCTATGCCAAACCAGACAGTTACAAAGGTGCAGATGACAGACTCAGTAATTCCTCTGTAGAACTGGATCAGCAGCTCCTTTGAAAGCCTGAGCTTTCTGAAATGGTGCAGGGAAAAACATTATTTGTTGCCCTTTTTTTAGTGACATTTTTGATGTTAGATATCAATTTTAAATCTTGAAATATTATAGAACCTAAAACTTGAAGGTCTGTACTGTTGATACTGTTTTCTAGTATTGTAAGGGGATAGAATAGGAGGGCTTCTCCTAAAATCTACTAGCATTTCTACAGTTTTGAGTGTGTTCAGCTCAAGATTGTTCTGGCTGCACCACAAGGCTAGTTGTTCAACTTTCCATCTGTATGCAGATTTGTCGTTGTCTCAAGTGAGACCAATCACTGTTGTATCATCTTGCAAACTTCAGTACTTTAACAGAGGGATCCTTTGAGATGTAGTTGTTGGTACAGAGAGAGAAGAGAAGTGGAGAATGTTAATTGTATAAGTATCTGATAAGTATAAGTATTTGCCTACATTCACCTGCTGCTTCCTATCTGGTAGGAAGTGTTTTTTTTTTCTGCCAAGTTGGCACCGATGACGGCTGCCTCGGTGAAATGCCCTCTAGTGATTTCTTTATTCCTTATTATTATCTGCAATTCACTAAGGATTTCATACTCACAAGACCATCTGCTAAGAATTAGGTAATGTTTCCTTAAGGAGCAGCTTTCTGATTCCTCCCCCCCACCTGTCTTTGCAAACGCGGAGGAGATTCTAGCTAATTCTCCGGTACTATGGATTACAATAAAGAAAGCAAAGAAGTAGCAACACCGAAAAAGGAGACGAGGTAAACGAGTGGGAATTTTAAACAGACTAAGGAATAGGGGGGGAAAAACTACTCTTCCGTCAATCTTTCTGACTAATTTACACTCACTTGCTAACAAGATGGATATAATTCATCTCTTAAATAGATGGAATTCTGATTTTTACAATTCGGCTGTTCTTTGTTTTACTGAAACCTGGCTTAATCCACAGATTCATGGGGACAACACCATATACATTACAGGATTTCAGACATTTAGATCAGACAGACTTGAAGAGACATCAGGTAAAATAAAGGGTGGAGGATTATGTTTATATATCAACAACAGCTGGTCTCAGGATATAACTATAATATATAAGTTCTGTGATGAAAACTTAGTCTTTACATATCAACTGCAAGCCATTTTATTCTCCACGTGAGTTCTCTTCATTTCTTCTAATAGCTGTGTATGTTCCTCCACAAGCCTGTGTAAACAAGGCATTACAAACTCTTGCTGATCAAATTATAGAGGCTGAAGCCAAAGACCCAGGTTCCCTTCCCATCATTTTAGGAGATTTCAAACAAGCAAATTTAAGGAAAGAGCTCCCAAAATATTGTCAGCATGTAAATTGTCCCACCAGAGGCAAAAATATTTTAGACCACTGCTACACAATAGTAAAAGATGCTTATAGGTCTTTACCACAAGCAGCTGTGGGACACTCTGACCATTGCATGATTCACCTTGTACCTGCCTAACAGACAAAGACTTAAAACCATGAAACCAACAATTAAATCAGTGAAGACTTGGTCGGATGAGGCAGAGCTGAAACTCTAGGCCTGCCTTGATTGCACTGATTGGAATGTTTTTGAAGATGCCTCTGCAGACCTAGATGAGCTCACAGATACTGTAACATCATATGTTAGTAACAATAAACCTTGGTTCACAGCTAAACTTAAGCAGCTATGCCGTTCCAAAGAGGAAGCCTACAGAAAAGGTGACATAATGCTATACAACCAGGCCAGAAACATATTATTAATGAGAGATCAGAGCAGCAAAAAGAAGCTACTCTGAAAAGTTAAGGAATCGGGTCTCAACAAATGAATCAGCAAACATGTGGAAAACTCTTTAAAACATCACTGGCTTCAGCAAACCTCCTTCCCAGACAGAAGGAAATCAACAACTAGCAGATGACCTGAATGTGTTTTACTGCAGGTTTGAAAGGAAACTACAGCCACCTATCTCTACAACCCACATCTCAAACACACCAACAACAGCCAAGCCTCCTACAACTGGCCCCAATCCACTGGATTCACAATCTCTGGTGATCACAGAAAAAGAAGTGCAAGATCTATTACACAGACAAAAGCCAAGAAAAGCACAAGGGCCAGACAAGATAACTCCTTCTTGCTTAAAGATCTGTACTGACCAATTGGCCCCAGTCTTCACCCGAATCTTCAATAGATCACTAGAGATGTGCTATGTCCCTTCCTGCTTCAAATGCTCTATCATCCCAGCGCCAAAGAAGCCCTCCATCAAGGAACTGAATGACTACAGACCAGTTGGTCTAACATTGGTAGTTATGAAAATCTTTGAAAGGCTTGTGCTGTCCCACCTGAAAACCATCACAGATCTGCTGTTAGATCCCATGCAGTTTGCATACCAAGCAAATAGATCAACAGATGATACTGTTAACATGGCTCTGCATTACATCCTACAACACCTTGAATCTCCAAATACCTGCGCAAGGGTCCTCTTTGTAGACTTCAGTTCAGCATTCAATATCATCATTCCAGACACTCTTCTAAGTAAATTAAACCAACTAGCAGTACATGAACAGACTTGTAAGTGGATCATAAGCTTCCTAACAGACAGGAAGCAGCAGGTGAAGCTAGGCAGAATCACATCCGATACCTGTACAATCAGCACAGCCCCCCCACCAAGGCTGTGTGCTTTCTCCACTTCTCCCTATATACCAATGATTGCATCTCAAACAATCCATCTGTTAAAATACTGAAGTTTGCTGATGACACAACAGTGATTGGTCTCATTCGAGATGACGACGAATCTGCATACAGACAGGAGGTTATACAACTTGCCTCGTGGTGTAACCAGAACAATCTGGAACTGAACACACTCAAAACCATAGAAATGGTGGCAGACTTTCGAAGAAACCCTCCCATACTACCACCTCTTACAATACTAGACAACACCGTATCAACAGTAGAGACCTTCAAATTTCTAGGTTCTACTAGGCCTAAAATAGACACCTAACATCAAAAACGTCATCAAAAAAGCACAACAAAAAATGTTCTTTCTGTGCTAACTCAAACTGCTCAAACTGCCCAAGGAGCTGCTGATCCAGTTCTACAGAGGAATGGTTGAGTCTGTCATCTGCATCTCTATAACTATCTGGTTTGGTTCTGCAACCCAACAGGAAAGACACAGACTCCAGAGAATAATTAGGACTGCAGAAAAAAACAATTACTACCAACCTACCTTCAATTGAGCACCTGTATACCGCACAAGTCAAAAAGAGGGCTGTGAAAATATTTACAGACCCCTCACATCCTGGACATAAACTGTTTCAACTCCTTCCCTCAAAACGATGCTATAGAGCATTGCACACTAGAACTACTAGACACAAGAACAGTTTTTCTTGAAAGCCATCACTCTGCTAAACAAATAATTCCATCAACCCTGTTCGGCTATTACAAAGTCTGCACTACTATTACTGTTAATCTTGTCATCACTCCTTATCACCCATCCCCTCCTACTGTGACTGAATGACTGTAACTTTGTCGCTGGTATACTTAGGATTTATATTGACTGTTTCCTAGTATGATTGATTGCTTATTGTACCCTATGACTATCATTAAGTGTCGTACCTTATGATTCTCGACTTCTGATGAATGTATCTTTTCTTTTATGTATACTGAGAGTATTTACTCCAAGACAAATTCCTTGTGTGTCCAATCACACTTGGCCAATAAAGTATTCCATTCTAAAAAAAAAAGTTTATGATCCATTTGCTGGCTGAATCAGTTTAGTGAGTATATTTGGAATAATGGTACTGAATGCTGAGCTGAAGGCTACAAAAAGGACCCTTGCATAGGTCCTTGGAAATTCAAGATGTTATAAAATGTAGTGCAGAGCCATATTGACAGCATAATCTGCCAATCTATTTGCTTAGTAGGCAAATTGAAAGGGGTCTAGCAACAGATCTGTGATGATTTTCAGGTGGGCCAGCACTAATCTTTCAAAGGTTTTCAAAATTATGGATGTCAGAGCAACAGATCTGTAGTCATTTAACTCCTTGATGGAGGGTTTCTTTGGCACTGGGATGATAGTGAAGTGTTTGAAGTAAGAAGGAACATAATACATATTGTGATTTATTAAAGATTCTAAGCAAACGAATTAATTTTGCTGTCTTTGCTAGTTCTGCCATTTTCACCAACCACTTATTTTGGATATTTCAGAAACTTTCTTTTTTTGTGCCTATAGTTATCTCACAGCAACCATATAAACACATAATCTTTCATGTCTGTCAAGCAGCCCCAAGTCATGTGTCAAACTTTGGGTGCTTAACAACTGGCATGTATTTACAATGGTTGCAGCATCCTGGGGGCCTGGGACTGTCATTTGCAACCTTCCTAGGGAACCTCTAATAAACAAAGTCAATAGGTGAAGCCAGATTTGCTTAAAAATAACCCTTCATGTCATCCACATTTCCAATATAAACCTGAGATACTTTTATACATTCTAGATAACTTTTCTGAAGTCATATCATTTTGTAAAAAATCTCTTCTGGGTTATAACATAATGTGAATGTTCATCCTTTTAACCACCTATATTCCTACTGCTCCAACAGGATGTTATGTCCAAAATTATTAACCTATTTTATTATCTATTCCAGGGGTGGGCAACTATGGCCCTTTTATGAATTATGGACTTCAAGTCCCAGTTCAGCTGCCATGCTAGCTCAGGAATTTTGGGAGTTGAAGTCCACAAGTCATAAAGGGGCCATAGTTGCCCACCTCTGATCTATTCTTTTATGTACGCATGCTCTATTTCAAATTTCAGGAAGCATTTATATATTTTGGTAATACCTGTTCATCATTTGTACAGCCATTTTCCTTTTTCTTTCCTCCCCTGTCAAGGATACTATTCTCCCTCTTTCTCTTTTTCTCTGTCCAGCCTCCATGCCCGGCAGCACCAAACATGTGATGTGCTGAGCAGATACTCTTGAGCAAAGGAAGAGTTGCATCATAATTAGTCTAGTGGTACAGAAGACATCAATATTCTTTGGAAATATTTTTAAAATCTAGTGGTCCTTCATTAATTGCCATGGGCCACTGATCGGTTCATGCACGAAGTAATAGACTGAACTTCAGTGGCCCTTTCTAACACTGTCATAATGTGATTCTACCTTATTTTGTGTGTGGCATTTGCCTGTGTGTGTGATTCTTGCTCAGTCTTTCATTTTTTTCTCCAGAACCCCAGTGATATTTTGACCGCACAGTATAAGCCTCTGTCCTTGAAGAATGTTTCCTCTTTGCCACTCAGGGTTGTCCTTTCTTTGCAAGAGCCCTTTGCCCTCTGTGATGCAAATCACAAAAAGATTCCAGTTCCTGAACAGGTAAATCCTTCATCTGAATTCAGTACACATCCTGGATAGCAGAACAGTCTCGGATGCTGGAGTGTTAATTATAGTATAAGAAAACTACAATTAGTAATGTGCAGGAAACAGAAATTGTGTTTTGTTTCAAAACCAAAACAAGCAAATCACATTTTGGAAATTCTGCCAAGTTTCAAATTTTGGTTTGAAAGAACATTTTTGTTGTTTAGGGTTTGGGGCAGAATCAAACCTGCAGGGATCCTAGAGCCAATCCCATCCAGGCTGAGTTAGGGAAGGTTGGTGTGACTCACCTCTCTCCTTTCTATCCCTTAGTGTAACATATTATCATAATCTATACTTTCATACCATTGTAATCTATATTTTCAGATTTGTTAATCATTCTAATCTGTTCCTAATACTGTACCCAGTCAAAGTCCTTAAGGAGTTGGACAGCTTTACATGTTTGGCGAATGAAGACATCCCAATAACTGTTCTCCCCCCCCCCTTTCCCGTGCTTTCTGTTTCCCCCCCCCTTTTTCCCCCCCCCCCCCCCCCGCCTAGCTGCTGTCCACATCCTTGGCTTTCTCTTGCTCATCCCCCATCTGATTTCTGCTAAGTGCTTCAGTCCATTCAGAGTCTACCAGAGATGGGAGGCCAGTAAACTTCAATAAATAAATAAATGTATGCATAGATACATATGTAACTGGAAAAACAGAGCTCCAATTTCCTTTTTTCCCTAGAATGTCCTCAAGGTATGCTTTAGCCATTTAAAAACATGTACAGAACCCATCGTGCCCAAACTAATCACTAATGTGTATTTAACTTTGATTCCAATTCAGCCTTTAAAAATGGACATTGGAGAGATACATCATCTTTCAGTCAGATTTAACCCTGTCTATAGAGATGATCTGTGTAGTCGCGTATTGGACGAGGTTCTTGTTTTGCGTTACTTGGAGCATCCTCACGTGGACTATGTTGATCTCCGGGGAGAAGTGCATTTCCCAAACCTCCACTTCCAAACAATGGATCTCGATTTTGGCTGCATCTTGAATGACACAGAAGTTATCCGTGACATCAGTATGAGCAACTGCAGTCCCCTTCTTATCAGATATCGCTGGTCCTTCCTCACAGATGATCGTGAGTCCTTCATCAGGTACAAGCCTTCAAATACACTGGAATTTTGCCTGATTTCTAATTATTCATAGCACATGATTCATTGTGTATTAAGGAATTCATTTTCAATGGTTGGTCTTTAAGGAATTACTTCTGATTAAGAACAGTATTCTAGGAGAGGCTCCAGATTCTACAAATAGCACCTTTCTCATTCTGAGTTTTCAGCAGTTTTCATAGTTTTTATTTTTCTTCTTTAGTACAGGTAATTCTCATTTAGAGACCACAGTGGGGACCAGCAGTTTGACAAAAGTGGGCATTAAGTGAAAAAAAATGACATGACTTCATCTGTGTTTATGGTTCAAATTTATTTTGCTTGACTGCATCAGACAGATATAACCCCAAATAGTCAGATGAGTCCTAATGGCAGGGAGTGATGGCAGAAGTGATTCACGAGGAAGCTGGATAAAAGGACATCGCCCCTTTCCCCATCCCCTGCCCTTTGAAACATTCACCCTTGTGCTAGGATAATTAACAAGGAGAAAATGGATATTTTACAATCACGGGAGATGAAGGGGCTACAAGAGAGGGCACATAATAGGAATACACAGAGAAAAGAATTATTTAGAGCTGTCTCTTTGCCTAGCATGCTTGCCAGAGCTACTTAGGAAGCAAACAAACAGCTGTCAATTTTAGAAAGCAGCCTCCAGCAGGCAGCTCCTCTTCCCCCCCCTCTTTCTCCGTCCCTCTCTCTCTCTTTGTAAATGTATAGGGAAGACAAAAACTAAGAAAAATAATATAGAGGAAAGAAAGAAAGACAAAGATGCAGGAAAAAAAGAAAGATCTATTTTCTTGCAGCGAAATGCAGATGTGATTACAAAATTATCTTTACGGTTACAAAAAGAAAAATTCAGATATAAGAAAAATTTGGTATAAGATGGGCAGCTATATAAATGTTTTAAATAAAGAAATAAAAATAAATTATTCACCCTGAGCTGCCTTCAGCAAGATAGGTGGCATACAAGTTCTCTGGGAAAGCCTAGCATGAATCCTTTTTTTAAAATTTTACTTTATTTTTTATAAAAAGTTTTTTATTTTTATAAACAAACAAATAAAACCTTTCTATTCAACAGTGTATCAGTTGGGTACGTATATCTTTGTTCACATAATAACATTATCATACATATTTTACTTATATATGTTTATAATCGTTCTAACCAGTATTTTATATCACGTGTATCACTTATATTATCCGTAATATTGTAATTATTGTCTTTCAATGATATATTTCGCATTCATTTTCTTTATCTAACTCATTTGTTTATTAACAATAGTATATTATACTGTACTTATATATTTCAATTTCTTACTCTTCTATCCAGCCATTTATAAAATAAATTCCAAATTTTATAATACTTTTTCTTCTTGTTCTCTAATTGCCATTGTCAATCTACTCATTTCTGCACATTCCATTATTTTCTTCATTTTTTCCTCATCCATTGGAATTTTCTCATTTTTCCAATTTTGTGCAAATACAATCCTAGCTGCTGTTAATACATTGATAATCAAATACGTTGACTCCTTGTTATAACCCTCAGGCAAAATTCCCAATAGAAATGTCTCTGATTTTAAGTCGATACACTGTTTTATCATTTTCTCCAGCCACATGTGTATTCTACTCAAATACTTTTTAGCTTCTGTGCATGTCTACCACATATGGTAGTATGATCCTGGTGACTTCTGACATTTCCAGCACTTCATCGACTTATCTTTAAACATCTTGGCAATTCTTGTTGGGGTTAGATGCCACCTGTAAAACATCTTATACAAATTCTCTTTATAGACTGTTGACATAGTTAATTTATAGTTTCTAGACCATAATATCTGCCATTTATCCAAGTCTATTCAATATCCAAAGATTTTCCCCCGTGCAATCATTGATTATTTTACTTGCTCTTCCTCTAATTTCACTCCTAATAAATAACCATATATTTTTTAATCAACTTCTCTTCAGTGCCTGTTAGGATTTTATCCAATTCAGTCAGTTCCTTATAAAACCTTAATGTCTTTTTCATACCTTGTATGTATTTGCAAATACGAATACCAATTTACATTTATCCCTTGTAAATCTAATTCTTGCTTTGTCTTGAGTTCACCCATTTCATTTAAAATTTCTTCATATCTAATAATGTGTTCCCTTTTGAAAAGCTGTGGATATGTAAAAGCTTCTAATGTTGATAGCTAGACTGGTATTTTCATATAGTGGTACTCTTATATTTTCCCATACTGTCAATAAAGTGTCCCTAATGTAGTGTCTCCTAAAATATCCATGTTCTTTACTTTCTTTATACCATAAAAATGCATGCCACCCCAATTGTAAATTGTGCCCTTCTAGTGTTAATAATCTGACATTTTTCAATACAATACATTCTTTCATCCACATCAATATTGTTGCCTGATAATATAGTTCCCCTCTTGCCCTTGCATCCTGAAATAATTTAGTTTTAATTCTTGTCTTTTTTCCCTGCCAGATAAATTTCAACATCATTTTATTTAAATCTTCAAAATATTTTTTTCCAATCTTATTGGAATCATCTGGAAGAGATATAATATTTTTCGCAATATGTTCATTTTAATTGTTGTTATTCTACCTATTAAAGATAATTGTAATTTTTTCCAAGTCTATCACAATCTGTTGTAATCTCTCATAGTTATCTTCCTTAAGTGTTCCATATTTAGCTGTTATTTGTATCCCTAAATATTTCACTTTTTTTGTAATTTGAATATTTAATTTATCCATTAATTTTTTCTTTTGTTTTTCTGTCATATTTTTCACTAAGTTTTTTGTTTTTTCTTTGTTTATTTTCAGTCCTGCTATTTCGCCAAATTCCTCTATTTCTCTAATAAACTTAGGGCCTGTTTCCAGTTGTTCTTCCAATATAAAGTCCAAATCATCAGAAAAAGTTTGTATACTCTTCCTTTTTATTTTAATTCCCTTTATTTCTTCATTTTTCCTAATATTTCTATTCAATACTTCCAAAATCAATACAAACAACAATGGGGATAGTGGACAGCCTTGTCTGGTTCCTTTTTGAATGTTAATATTTTCTACCAATTCTCCATTTATCATTGCTCTTGCTTGTTATATATCACCTTTAATGCTCTAATGAATCTGTCTGCGAAACCCATCTCCTCCAATTGCATCAACATAAACTGCCAATTCACATAATCAAATGCTTTCTGTGCATCTAAAAACACTAATGCCATTTGTTTCTATGAATGGGTTTCATAGTATCTAGAGTATTCAATATTATCCTCATATTATTTTTTATTTGTCTCTTGTGCAGAAATCCATTTTGGTCTGAGTGTATGAAATAGTTTAAATATCTTTTTAACCTTTCTGCCATTATTGAAGCAAATATTTTATAGTAAGCATTTAGCAGGGACGTTGGTCTATAATTTTTTATTTGTTGTGGGTCGGTATCTTCTTTTGGTATAAGTGTAACATATGCCTCTGTCAGGTATTTTATTTTTTATCAAAACCTCATTCAGTACTTCCAACATTGTAGTAGAAATTACTTCCTATATTGTCTTATAGAATTCAGCTGGTAGCTCATCCAGGCCAGGAGCTTTTCCAGTGTTTTGTCTATTGATTCTGTCAGTTCCATCATTGTTATTTTCTTATCTAACATGGTGTTTACTTCATCAGGTATTTTCGGTAGTTCTGCCTCTTGTATATATTGGTGTATTTTGTTTTCCGATATTGCCTCTTGAACATATAGTTTCTCATAGTATCTCTGTATTATTTTTTTTTCTTCTCTTCATTTTCATAACATAATGTGCCATTTTCATCTATAAGTTGTGATATTCTTTTTAATTCTTTTTCTTTCTTCAGTTTATATGCTAACCATCTACCTGGTTTGTTTGCATTTTCAAAATAGTTCTGTTTAGCCCCTCTAACCTTTTGTGCCAATTCTTATTTTTCCATTAATCCAATTTTGTGTTTGATTATATCCATTTGATTTTTGATTTTTTTTGTGTTGTGTGTATCTTTGTAAGTCTTTCTCCAATTTCTTACATTCTTGTTCTAAGATTTGCTGTGTTTGTCTCTTTTTAATGTTTCTTCTTCTTGTGTAAGTTATAATCACACCTCTGGTATATGCCTTCATAGTATCCCATACATTTTATAGTGAGGTCTCTTCTGATTTAGTTTCTTTAAGGAAGAAAGCCAATTCTTTTTCCATGTTATTAATACATTCTTTTTCTTTCAAAATCGAATTATTCAAAGTCCATCTTGATCTTTTCTTTTGTCCCTTCCATTTAATCCTTATTGGGTTATGATTGGCCCAAATATTTGTGTCAATATTTACTTCCTGGATCATATCTATTCTTGATCATTATAAATGTCTATTTGAATAAAATGTAAATTGTCTATTTTTGCTGTTCAATTCTCTCCATATATCTTTAATATTCAACTCCTCCACCATCTTAAAAAAGGATTTTGGTAATATTTTTCTGTTCTTATTTGTTTTCTGTGTTTTATAGTCCAATTCTGAATTTACAATTGTGTTGAAGTCTCCAAAGATACATATCTTATCATATTCCAATTCAATAATTTTATTGTGTAGTTTCTTATAAAATTGGTCTTGCTGATTATTGGGAGCATAAATTGCAATTAAAAGTACCTTTAAATTGTTATCTGTTATTTCAACCATGAAAATTCTTCCTTCTTCATCTGTATAAATTTGCTTAGCTTTAATTGTATTTCTAATATATAAAGCAACTCCTTTTTTATTTTGTTGTGCCAATGATGTGAATATATCCCAATTCTAGGACAATTCAACACATGTGCATGCTCTTTTTTAATAGCACTTCTTGTAGAGAAATTATATCCATGTTTAATTTTTCTAGTTTGTGAAATATCTTTTTCCTTTTAATTGCCGAATTTAGTCCATTTATATTTATAGAAATTAGTTTCTTTTCTTCTTCCATTGTTTAAACTTCAAAAGTAGGATTTATTGCTCTTGTTGTTCTTTGTTCTTT